TTTGATACTAACATGTTTTATATTTGTTATCTTGTTCACTCTTTAATACTTTGCTTGTTAAATGACTAATTTTGATTTATGTTGTATAACACTTGGTACAACAAATGCTTGGCACTTTCATAGCCCATACTGTATGGTATAACCGACACCTGAGCTATAAAAGGAACTTGATTTGTTGTTAACATAAGTTATAATCATGAATGCTTGACGAGATTTACAAGTACTAGCATTAATCGAATAAGATTACTAATGTAATCATGTTAACAATCTATAATCTGATTGGAACCTCCTTTGTTTGTGGTTTCCAATTGAATAATAAGAGTTTATACTATACTTGTTTGACATACCATTAGTGGAACCTCTAACCTTGACATTTGTTATTATTATTGTTTAATCCTTACATTAATTTTCCATCTCCAAGTTCTCATCATCTTCTTCTTCTTCTCTTTCTTTATTATTATTATTATTATTATTATTACTACTGTTGTTGTTGTTGTTGTTGTTATTGTTATTACTATTATTATTGTTGTTGTTGTTATTATTATTGTTGTTGTACTATTGTCGTTTATAATTTGTACAATTAACCTTCCTGTGGTTCGACCCCGGTCTTGCCGGGTTATTTATTACTTCAACACTCCTGCACTTGGGAGAAGACATCAATCTTTTAGTCGTGTCAGGCTGAGCCCAATAGTGGGATGTTTTAGGGCTTACTATTTATATGTTCTTCTATCATTTTGAGAGATAGTTTTGATGATTAATAAAAAATTTACAGACTTTGCATATCTCTAATCCCCTTTCTTCTCTTTCTTTTTTTTCTTTTCTCAGCTTCTTCTCTGAAAGCTTCTTTCTTTTCCTGACTTTAATTCTTTTGTTTGTTGTTCTACATCACTAATTGTGAAGGAAAAATTGAAATCAACTAAGAGGATAAGAAAATATTAATGAAATGAGACCAGTTACAGAACATTTAACAAAGAAAAACGAATGAATTGAATGAATAAAATATTGTAGAAGGTTGGCCATAGTTAAAGAGTTGGCTAGAATGCATTGTGTGATAATCTGCATATAGGTGTTCATGTTAAAATCATATGACTTTGCTGGAATTTAATGGCAGATTATGTGTTGGGATTGAATTCGTATGTGTGTGTTCGTGCTAAAATCATGTGATTATGCTTGAATCTAATGACAGATTATATGCTGGAATTGAATTTGCATGTTTGTGTTCATGCTAAAATCATGTGACTCTACTCGAAACTAATGATAAATTGTGTTGTCTGCAGCGAATCAGCTTTCGCTACCAAAATTGGATTGTGTGCAACGAATCAACGTTCGCTACTGAAATTGTGCTTTGTGCAACGAATCAGCATTTGCTGTCGAAAATTAAGTATGTTGTCTGCAACAAATCAGCGTTCACTACTGAAATTGTGTTGTTTACAGCTACCAAAATTGTGTTGTATGCAGGGAATCAGCATTCGCTGTCAAAATTATTGTCTGTAGCGAGTTAGCATTCACTGCTAAAATTGTGTTGTGTGCAGCGAATCATCATTTGCTACTGAAAATTGAGTTGTTTGCAGCAAATCAACGTTCTCTGCTAAAAATTATGTTATATGTAGTGAATCATCATGTACTGCTAAAATTGTGTTGTGTGTAGTGAATCATCGTGTACTGCTAAAATTGTGTTGTGTGCAGTGAATCATCGTGCGCTGCCAAAATTGTGTTGTGTGCAGCAAATCAGCGTTTGCTGCCGAAATTGTGTTGTGTGCAGCAAATCAGTGTTCGCTGTCAAAAATTGTGTTGTTTGAAGTGAATTAGAGTTCCCTGTTGAAAATTATGTTATGTCTAATGAATCAGCGTTCGCTATCAAAAATTGAGTTGTCTAAAGTGAATTAGCATTCGCTGCTGAAATTTGCATTCTGCAGACAACACAATTTTCGACAATGAACTCTGATTCACTACAGACAACATAATTTTCAACAAATGTTAATTCATTGCACACAACACAATTTTCAACAGCGAACGATGATTCACTGCACACAACACAATTTCAGCAATAAACATTGATTCACTACAACCAACACCATTTTGGCAGCGAACGCTGATTCATTGTAAATAACACAATTTCAACAGCGAAAGCTAATTCGCTGAAGACAACTTAATTTTCAACAACGAATGTTGATTTGCTGCACACAACACAATTTCAGTAGCAGACGCTAACTCAGTGTAGACAACACAATTTGTCATTAGTTTCTAGCAGAGTCACATGATTTTAGCATGAACACACACACATGCAAATTCAATTCCAGCACATAATTTGTCATTAGATTCCAGCAAAGTCACATGATTTTAGCATGAACACACATATGCCAATTCAATTCCAACACATAATCTGTCATTAAATTCTAGTAGTCATATGATTTTAACATGAACACCCACATGCATATTATTACACAATGCATTCTAGCCAACTCTTTAGCTATGACCGACCCTTTATCATGTTTTATTCATTCAATTTATTCATTTTTCTTTATTAAGCGTTCTAGAAATTGGCCTTATTTTGTTTCTATCTCCATGTCCTCTTAGATGATTTCAATTTCCTTCATAGCTAGCCTAGATGTCCTTTGTCAATTTTCTTAGGGTCTTTTTCATCATTTCGATTCTAGGGTCTCAAGAACAAGAGGAAGAAGACTACATAGCCCATACCTTTTATCTAGGACAGTTTAATGGTATTCCTTCTCTATTTCTCCCAGTTCTCCCCCTTCTTCTTCCTCTATTGGTTCTCTTTTTTATGTCAATTTCTTCCCACCGGTTCTAGCCTTTTCCCCCTTTCCCTCTAAGCAGTTGTTCAACATTCTCACAAGCTCTCAACTCTCTCTTGTTCTCTCACTCACTCACTCTTATAAAGGCATCTGTAGCTGGCCGAGTTTAAATTTTTTATTGGGAAAGAGGAAGGGGAAAAAGGAGAATGCAGCTGCTGGAGACAGACTTTGGAAAGAGGAAGGGTCACCTTCTCTCTCCTCCTTGTATTTATACCCTCTTTTAAAGAGCTGGGATGTTTAGGTGTTGGTTTAAGCTTGTTCTTGTCCTCCCTTTGGTTACTCCAATGCTGGTTTTCCCCCCTCTTAACTCATGATAGCTGAGTCATTGCCGACTCAACAATCGACAAGGAAAAACTATGTTTCTGTCGATTCAACAATCAGCGACGATGGTGAGATCATTTTTGGCTTTCATTTTTGTTGGATGTTTGCATTCCCTCATCAAACGAAACTTGTTGACACAAAGATCAATCATTTTAGTAACTGAAATTGTTGTCAACCAATAATTTTCTCTCTTTACCGTTAAAATCTAATGACTTTCTCCTCCTCTCTCAAACAAAGAACTGAAAAATTAGGAAAATCAAGTTTTGGACCAAAATTGATTTTTCTTGGAATTTTGAAAATTGGAGGTATCTAAAATTTATAGTTCAAAAAGTATGAGGACTACAATGAATGTTTCAAAAGTTTGAAAATATCACTCATTGCCTCTGTTTTTTTTACTTTGATCCTCTATCTTTTAATCTCATCATTTTGTAGCAAATTAACTTAAATTGACCTTTAATTGGATCTTTAATTGGATCTTATAAGGGCTAAAATAAAGTTTACAAACAAAAAATTACATTGTGGCATGTAATGAGTTTGTGTCTATAGTGGTATGGGCTACAATGTTTTGCCCACGCTTTTTAGATTATAGTTAACTAAATCATCGATATGCATTACACTGCGTGTTAGATCATTTTTTTTTTTAATTTTGAGAAAAATTTAGGCATTACTAATGTTTTTTCTAGTAAAAAAAAATCATGTGAATTGACCTGATGTGACCTGCTCAACTTGGTGGGTACAAAGATAATTTAGATGACTAACAAAAATATAATTTGACTAAAAAAATTAAAATGTATATTTTTAAAAAAAAAATATTGAGATAACATCATATTGGATCAACTCATGTCAACCCGGGTTACATGTCAAATTTGTAACCATAATTGTAAGACCATGATAGCTCCACAAAAATAAATCAAAACTAATTATAAAGTCTAATTTTTAATTAACACAATATTAAAAAATAAAATTAAAAAAATCAATTAAAAAAAATAACATGAGTGTCAACCCAAGAATAACCCGCCGAACTAGCAACTCAAGTCATGAAATTGGGATGACTGCACAGAAAAAAAAACAAAATAAATCATGAAATTCAATTCTTAAATCAACCTATCATTGAAGGATGAATTTCAAGAAAAAAACTCAATTAAAACAAAGGACATAAAAGATGACCGGAGTCAACTTAGGTTAACACACCAAACCTGTGACCAAGGTCATGAGATCAGGATAACCTCAAAACACCATATCAAAACAAATAATGAATCCTAATTTTCAATTAATAAAATATTGATGAATGAAAATGAAAAACACATCAATAAAAAAACAAAAATAAAAATAATCGAGTCAACTAAGTTAATAAACTAAACTTACAACATGGTTCATAAGGTTAAGATGACCTAATAGAAAATAAATTATGAAGTCTAATTACAACAAATCAAAATTTAAAAAATTAGATTAAATCTTTTTAAAAATATATAGAATTAAAAAAAAACAAAGCAATATTAAAATGAATAATACTTTGTAAATGGTGAAAATTAAAAGCAACACATCTTTTAGTGTTAGTGTTAATAATCCAAATGCTTGTAGTTATGTGACTAGTTGCATGATGTGATAATTAAAGTATGTTGTGATTACAGTGTTGTGTGGTATGTTTGAAATAGGTTCAACTTCTTTATGGAAGTGTAATGTTAAATATTAAGCTTACCATAATTCTGAAAGAAGAATTTCCTTATTTTTCATAGTTGCCAATTGCGAAATGGTTTTATTTGACTAAAATTTGAGAATACGAGGCAGTAACAATGGTAATTTCTCGACAGAGATGTGATGATTTAAAAAAAAAACCAAAAAACACAAACTAATATAGAAATTAAGTTTAAGTAATTAATGTGACAGGATTTATTACTTATTTTAAAAAAAATCTGTAGGATCATACAAAACATTTTCTTTTCGGAACAAAGAGACTAATAATTCTATTCACATCACATTTTGACCTCCAAATACAAATCTACACAAACTCATTGATTGTAATTCCGCCACAAGTAATTACGCTGCGAGTCACAAATTAGGACACCAGGACTGCACATGAAGGTTTGCACCACTAAGGCCTGATCCTCCGTGGAACCCCTCAACTAGCAAAATTTGAGGTGGAATGCCATGAAATACAAAAGACAGGTTGATACAGCAAATTCTGCCACCCTCAGCTTTTTCTCTGGTTATTAGCCTTTTTGCCCCCCTTGGGACTCTTCCCTGGAGACGATTCCACTAATATTGGCAAGAAAGCTTCATCCTTGAGTTCATTTGATATACATAGCTGCTCCACCATGTTTCCCGCTTCCAGGGACACCATCAAATCCCTAAGCTGCATGTCAATGGTAATATATCAATATAAATCTAATTTGCAGATCTATCTTTCCTTGTCTATGATAAGAATAGGATACGAGGGATGTTCAAAAAAAATAATCACCTGTTCTTCCAGATCCTGAATTTTATCGTCCTTTATTTTCAAAGCCATTTTCTCCCTGAAAAAAAGGTGATACCACCAAAGTAGAGTTTGATTGGAATATAGGAATTCGAGATGTTTTCAATATGCATTTTTGGCGGCAAAAAAACACAGGAAATGGAGAGAAAGTATTGACCGAGGTGGGACCGTTGATGGTTTTCAACTTTCCTAACCAATCCACATAGCATTTCATGTAAAACTAACACAGCCATCATTTCAAACATGGCCAACATAGAAAATGCAAAACTGAACTAATGTATAGAGAAAATTTAAGACATGGAAAACATCCAACTATTAACTCAATAGCAAGACTATAAAAACTAATTTTAACTTCCAAATCACACATTTTGTAATAGAAACTTGGGTTAATACCATGCAATAATGCAAAGTCCAAACACAGGATGAAGGCTTTTGTTATAAACGAAACATACCTCTCTTCAATTTCCGATATCTTTGCCTTCCATTGATTTTTCACTAAATTCTCATTGAGCTACAAGAAGAGAAAAGAAACGTGATAATTTGTAAACTTAACATTAATACTTGGAATTGGAAATATATCACAAACAATGATACAGAGACATAACCACACCTATCATCCTAACTAAACACGATCCGAAAAATTCTAAATAAGCCCAATTTCACACCAGAAACTGGGACTTACATCATCAAGGAATTGCTTCTCTTTTATACATCTATCCAGCTTGGCCTGAAACTTCTGTAGTTTTTGAGCAATTGCCTTCTTAACAGCTTTAGAAATTTCCCTTTCAGTTTCTTCTTCAACTTCTTCCAGCAAGGTCCCAAAAAACTATCGAAAGAAGGTATATTATTACTTCAGAGTACTGAAAAAAGGAAAGCATAATGTATAGCAGACTAAAAAGCACAAGCCAAGGCAGACATGGCCAGATCATAAAGAAAATTATGTTGAATCTCCCACATAGGCTCAAAGGGTAACTCATTCAATCATGGAAAGTTGAAGAATGCACTTACAAGATTTTGGTTCTCAAGTTGGGTTGCAAGGAGTTCATTGTACTCATTGACAATCTGTAATAAATTTAAATAAGATTATTTATAAAAAAAAAAATAGAAAAAACAATTACAACCTTTTCTAAGTAACACAGTAAACATTACAGCCTCAACTTTGCTGTTCAAAAGAGCCTCACTAACTCCAGAGTCTACACAATCACAACCTCCACAACCATCATAAGCATGCACAATGGGGGAATTCAACTCAACTAACTTCCCGTCAGTTTTTGATTGAAGCAGTCGGTGAACATAATTGTCACCAACATAATCCCACACACGTTGTGTGTCCAGTTCAAGAGAATAGCAGTGTTGTGTTTCTTTCCAATGTTGTATGGCATGTCCTCCTTTATACCTGCACCAATATTTTTTGTTGAAAGAATGAAACTGAAGGATGTGCTTAAAAGAAGAAAAGAAAAAATCAATCCAAACATAAGAGGAAATTGAAACTATTACCTGCCACAGCCAACAAAACCACATAAAACACAAATCCATAGATTCTCAGAAGTTTGGCATACAATACAAATTGATTTTTCAGGTTGTTGCTGGCAATATCGGCAAACCTGAAAGTGACATATAAATAACTGGTTAGCTAACTTTATAATAATCACAGAAGCAAATACAATAAACAACTGTAGCTACATAAGTCTATTGGCTAAACAAGTTAAAAATTCTAATCTAAAATTTGCATAAGCAAATGGATGTAGCAAAGCTAAAAGGGATTGAAACGGAAATTCTGCTTAAGCATTTCCCATAGAATCCATTTCATTCGAACGCAAACATTTATTATATCAATTTATTTTATGCAAATTGGTATATCGCATAATTAATGAAAATTACCAAACTTCTTAGAAATAAAAACTTTTAGAACTAAGAGGATAATGAAAGATTATAAGAGAATCAAATCAACAAGGGATTTTGAAACTAAAAGATGTGGATTAGAACTTTTTAGGAACCAAGATGGCTTGTTGAAAATTGTACAAACCAAGCAGATAGCCAGTGTAATTAGGATTTTAATCTTCTAGAATCCAAAGTTTGCTGAAGTCTCAGCAAGAAATTTGAGAAACCAATGGCCAAAACTACCACTTCAACTATAGTATTGCCTAAGCACAACAACAAATACACCAGGCCCCATAGTATCAGTTGAACTTCTTGATTGAGTATGTGGTAAGTAACCAAATGAAGTTTCATTTAAGTTTTGATGAGCTCAGAAATTATCACATTGTTATTTTCATAACTATTAAGTTTTCCCTAACCATTTACAACCCTTTATTTCTCATATTTTTCCAATTTCATTAATTTGCGCATCACAAAAAATGACTAGTAACCTCTGCAACTGTCTCCAAATACAGTGCGCTTAAGGAATTGATTTTTATTTTTTTTTTAATTTTCAGATCAAACATCGCATAATATTTTAAGATTTTGAAAAGTAACAGATGGACTCTTCAGTGAAAAAAAAAAATTGGAAATGAAAATTTCAGGGCATTTGAATCATACGAACTATGTGGAAGGTTTGTGAACTCTTCTCTATTAAACTCGATAAGTGTAACAGGCTACAACTCGTACAAACAACAAATGCCAGTAAAGCAACATCTGCTCTAAAGATTACAATTTACAATATATGAGCAATATATGAAAGGAGAGCATGAAATTGAAACCTATCTTACTAATTAAACCATTAAACAATGCTATATGGCTCATCTGTAATTGATCTCTAAGAAATTTAATGATATGACACACTACAATCCATAAAAACAGAAAATATCAGGAAACCAGCATTTACTCTGACAAATTACATTTGCATAAACAGTATAGAAAATGGGTAAGGATTTAGAACAACTTCTAGCCGAGGCATCAAAATATTTAGTGCATGCATGGATAAGGAACAGCAAAAGACCTTATATAATTTATTACAAGTCTAACTTAAATTCAGCACATGAGATATCTCAACACGCTGTATCCAAGTACTTTTGAGGTACACTTAAAAAGCCCCAGAATACTTCACCAAATAGGAACAAGTTAGTTGCATCTCAAGTGACGAAACTGAAAGGATTTAAACCCACCACAGGTTAAATTATTTTCTCATCATTCTACTTTCAAACTGGGTCCCAGACATTGCACATGCACAAGCAGCACCTAAATAAAGTGCAAGAAAAATCAGGATATAGAAGAACTTCTAGTTTAGGCATCACTATAATTAGTGCAAACACGGACAGAGAAACAGAAAACGACCTTACATAAGTTACATGTCAAATAAATCTGCATTTGGGCATTAATCGATCAAAGTCAATCCATGGGATACTTGACAAACTGTATACAATACAAAGTGGTTGATTTCAAGTCTGTTTGAGGCTGACTAAAAAACCCAGAATACTTCAACAAACAGTCACAATTTAGTTGCATCTCAAGTCACGGGACTGAAAGGATTTGAATCTACCAAAGGTTAAAATATTTTCTTATCACTCTGCTTTCAAAGTGAGCCCATAACTTGCACATGCACAAGCAACACATAAACAAAGCGCAAGAAAATCAGAACCACTCACCGGACAAGAAGAGTCTGTCCATTTTGAAATGCAAGAGCAGTGAAAAGAATGATTACAGATAGTTGTAAGAATTCCACCCATGTCTTGGTCTAGTCTCTCTGCAACATGAAGAATTAGGACCATCTCCCACAGCATATGTTAGTGATGCATGTTACAATATCATGTGTGTTAATTTCCTGTTGAATAATAAATCCAAAATAACAAATAAGCTACACAAACACAAAAACATTCTCCATTGTCTCATTGAAAGTATATCAAGTTTAGACTCACAAATTCCTTAAGCACAAAAAGCTAGGCCAAAAAAACATAATGGTTAGATACACAAGGTATACCTGAGATATTGCTTATATTACAGTAGTCTCCATGTCTGAGCAACTTCTAGGTAGGAGCAAGGAGGATGAAAAGAAGAAAAGATATGAAAATGAGCAAGCAAGCCACTTCAGCTACTGAATCTCAAATTTTACCAGTACAACTCAGAACATAGCAGATAACAGTTCGGGTTTCCAGCTAACTTATGATATAAAATTGAGATGCAGACAAAGAGTATATTCTAAAGCAAAGAACCCATGAGAAGATATCTCTGACTTATCTATCCACTTGCTTTCTCGGCATGTACCTTAATTGCATCAAGTTTTGATCTAGTAATTATTCTTTTTACAACCACCACTAGGAGCTGTGTTTACAGAAACTGGAATCAAAATAGAACAATTGTGGAAAAAAAAGATACATTAGAAATATTTGGACCTTGCCAAATAGATAGAATTTTCCATGACCTCTCAACCTAATTAATGTCACCATCACAACTTAACACCAACCCCCTCCCATTCTCTCCTGGTAAACAACAGGATTAACTTAAAGAGAACAATGAGTGCATCAGTAACCCCTTTAGTTAATGAACTCTGTAAGAAACTAATGAACCAAAGAAACAGCGCACTGGAGATCATGGGGGAAATTGTAAAATGTATTCATACTTAAACAAAGACCATGCAGCACGCAATAGATGTATAGGCTCCGTTTTTTTGCACGAAAGTTGTTTCCTTTTGAAAAGTGAATTCCGGGGAAAATGAACTCCTGAAAAATAAATTATTTTTCGATGTTTGGTAGTGTTATGGAAAATGAACTGGAAAACACTTTCCAGTGTTTGGTTATGTTATGAACTGGAAAATAATTTATTAATGTTTTATTTTTCTCAAGTTTATTAAAATAATGAGGAACAAATCTTACAAATTAAAAGGTTGAATAATAATAAAATTGAAAAAAAAAATTTCATAAATTATCTTAAATAAAATAAATAATAATCAAAATAATAAAGATCAAATCTAAAAAAAAAAAAGATGAAGAAATTAAAATAATAATAATTAACATTTCATAAAGTATTTCAAATAAAATAAGTAACAATCAAAAGAATGAGAACCAAATTTGATAGATAAAAAATTTCAATAAAAAATAATAAGAGAAGCAAATAACAATTATAAAAATGAGGACCAAAGTTAATATAAAAATTAAATTTTAAGAAATGAAATTGAAAAATAAATATTCAAAACAAAATATATATAGCAATCAAAAGTTTGAGGATCAAATTTGATATAATCAGCAAATAATGACATTTCTAAATTTTTCACAACTTCCGAAAAGTGTTTTCCTCCCAAATTTTTCAGGAAAATACTTTCCTGAAAACCAAGCCAAATTTTCGTTTGACTGGAAAGTGTTTTCCGTTTACCAACTTTCCTAACAGCAAACAAACACAAGAAAGTTTGGAAAGTGATTTCCCGAAAACCACTTTCTGGAAAACAAACACAAGAAAGTTTGAAAAGTGTTTTCCCGGAAACCACTTTCCAGAAAACAAACACAGCTAAAAAAGAAAACACTTTCTTGAAAACCAAGCCAAATTTTTCTTTGACTAAAAAATATTTTTCATTGACCAGAAAGTGTTTTTTCCGTTGATCAGAAAGTATTTTCCGTTGACTAGAAAGTGTTTTTTGTTGACCACAAAATTTTTCCGTTGACCAACTTTCCTAATGGCAAACAAACACGGGAAAGTTTGGAAAGTGGTTTCTCGGAAACTATTTTCCAAGAAACAAACATGGCCACAGTCCACTAAGCAAAGAGATTAATGCTTCCAAGTAAACAGACAAGCAAAAAGAGGTTATTCTCTTAATAAAGCTTATCGGCTTTTCTAGTAATCTTGTCTCTTACTGAGCATACCGTTATCATGTCTTCTACTGTCCATCTTTTCCTATAATAATTTCAAATTCCATTCTAAGATACGAAGCATTATCAAAAGGCAGATTTGCAATGATAACAAAATATACCAAGACAAACATGAAGGCTGTTCAGCTGTGCTTGTTGTAGATGGCTGAGAGTGTTCAAGTGAACCACTGTAACCAGTGAACTGGACATCAACTGTGAAAAGCACCTGGCACACTTCTTCCTGTACAAATACTAAAATGAATAGGTAACAATACAACAAGACAACTAATTTTAAGAAATAAGTACAAAATGAGAGCAACAGGATAGAAATTGTTAAAGAAAAAATGCCTACTTCCAAAGAATTATATTGTCTACCATTGAAATGAAGGTAGAATTTATCAGTAGAGTCTTGAGTGTCAAATCTTATAAGTATACTATACTGATCCTCCATTCCGTCCAACCTAACACTCATTGCAACAAATAAATACTTTGACAGGAAAGAAGAATTTTTTGTAAAAGTAATTATTGAAATCATTAATATCACCTAACAATTCGCATCTCCAAAATGTGGTGAATAAAAGAAGCACAAAACTGGCAGAAATCAGCATATGTCATGTGGTTCGGCACTCCAATCACAGCCACAAGAGGTTTCCTTCTGACCTATGCCATTACCAACAAAATTAACAATCATTAATCTCATCATCAAAACCAAACACACAAACATAAACTGATAACATGCATACAGGGAGATCTGAAACGGCATCATTGGAGAAAAGGTGCATGACGCCTCGTGTCTCTTCAATCCTAGGGTTTCCAGACGAGAAAGGCAACGCCTCACTCAATGATGACGATGATTCCTCAGCTGTAAGTTGCCAGAAGTGGTCCTCTGGCGAGGCCCTGCTGGCTGCAGTAGTGCTTGAGCTGGATGACATGGCTGTTGAAAACATTAACGACTGTAGTAGTCATCATCAACTTAAAGCCTAAAACAATAACATTAAAAAATTACCCAAGAAAGAACATAAACATCGACGAATGCCCCGAAATCCATTCAAACCTCAACTTTTCACGTCTCAACCCAAATATCAGGTCCCTGAGACTCAAAACAACATTGTCTCAACATCCATCACATGAACCCGTTTATTTAAGCAAAGATTATGGTACATGAACAAAACAAGAACCTACAGTCCCTCCATTTTAATAAAACACCAAGAGGAGCAGATTTATTCGAAACAAAATAAAACTACCTCCAGATTTAAGCATAGTAAGCAGACTTCAAGAACCCAAATCCTGGATATCATAGTTTTCATGCTATGCAACCTGGGGCCAAAGGAAGCCTAAAACAGACCCAGCTGAAGCTGAAACCTTTTGACACCCAGAATTGCACAAACAATACTACCTTTCTATTCAAACCCCCACAACCAAAAGGACCATTTCCATGTATTCAATAGAAAAATCACACCAAGAGCCTCTCTTCATGTATCGGAAACACTAAAATACTTCTGCAAACATTTCGAACGCTCAAAATTCCTATAGGAGTTCCCATTACATCTCAAAAACAGAAACCAAACATGCGTTTAAAGATATCAAAATCATTCAAAACATAGACATGTAAATATGCGTTTGAGGAAGCAATTAGGCAAAGGAGGTCATACCTGCAGTGGATGACTCTGATGGCCTTCACCAACTCTGAACCAACAGCCTTAGTGAAACCTGGTTGATTCGACCCAAAGCAAAAAGCGGTTTTGAGATGCTACCAATAAAGGATCGTGGCTGTGGGAAGAGTTGATGTGGTAGCTGGCGGTGGATGTTGCTGGGGGCTGCTTGAGGTGCGTGGTGGTGTGATCGTGTGCTGCCTTTGTTGAGGCAGGAGATGACGACGATTGAGAGAGGAAAAGGGCGGTACTGTGGTGGTGGAAGTTATCTGTTGATTGGGTCAGTGGCGGTGGTTTTTCTATATTCGCTCCGGTTTCCCACTTCACGCATTTTTTAAGGACCGGTTACCTACACGCATCATCCCTGTATTTTTTTATTTTTTTTTAATTTTAGTTGACTTGATCAATGCATTGACCCAGATATTATTCGATAGCACCTCCCTTTGTCACTCAAAAGTATTAATGTGCACATGGGGTAATGATAAAATATAAAAGCGAAAACCCCAGTATAGTCATACTCTTAAATATATAGCATTGAAATCTTTTTAATTAAATTCGATTTAAAAATTGTAATAAAGTTTCATATTTGAAACTCTTTAAAAATAATATAAAAATAAATTAGATATCAACTCATTCTCTTTAATATGCTTTATCCTTAATTTTATGGTTTATATAGTATCGAGAATATATAAATGATGAGCATTTGAATTTGATTTTGTGTATTATGTATAGTGATTGTAATGAAGAGGAATTAGAAGTAGAAAGCGAAGAAGGTATGGTTGGTGAAAGAAACGAGTTCTTTATTGTTTAAAAATATATTAAAAGATTTTAAAAAAGAAATGAGATGAAAGAGTCGAGAGTGCTATATAAAACAAAATTAATCGAATTCTATTATAGAATATATATTATAAGTATGTAAAAATTAATTTATCTATTAATTGAACTCAATTTAAACACTATAATTAAATTTATTTTTTATTTTTTATAGTAAATTGTTTTCAAACATGCAATTAAATTTTATATTCATTTCAATTCCTCTAAAAATTTTAAATTTTATCAAGATAAAATTACTTTGAAGCTACTATAGTTTAGTTATTTTTCTCTTTGTCACCAATCTTTCAAAAATTATTGATAAAATTACTTTGAAGCACCTATAATTTAGTTATTTTTTGCTTTGTCTCTATTCTTTCAAAAATTATTATTTATAATTAATTTTTAATTTTATACAAAAAAAATCAAACTACCCTTATATATAATATCACCGTCCAAATACATATCAATTCATTATTTTGCATTCGATTTTCTTTTCTCCCTCTCCATGACTCTTTCTCCACTAGCATATAATTAATATAAATCAAAACAAAATCTTCTCTTTTTATCAATTTGTTTTCTCTTCTCTCTGTAATCCAAAGCGCCTTTTGTGAGTTATAAATAAATTATTCTTTCTTTTTTTTCAAAACTCTAAAAGAAAACTTAAATTGATTGTAAATAAAATCTTCTCTTTAAATTTGGGTTTCATTTACGAGAAACTTTAAAAATAAATGTAAGACAAGAAGCATACCAATTCAATGATGGAGAAATAAGGACAGTGAGAGGATAATTAAAAAATAAAAAAGTATCATGTAATTAAATAAAATATAAAGGGTATTTTTTGCATAAACCAATTATGGTCAACAACTCTATTTATATAAGATTTCTATAGATATACAAGGAAGTAAATAATTATAATGAATTACAAGAATGATCATTAGATAAAATTATTGAATTCTAGTCATGGAGCCATTTTTCAATTGTCATAGAATTATTTTTTTGCTGTTATGGGATCATGAGATTATCCTTTCCTTGCTTGATTATTTTCATTATTAGCACAATTTTCTTGATTTAACATGTGAAATTGATAATTGCTCACACATTTCTTCAAACACAATAGGTAGGAAGACATGTTGACTTTGTTTCAAAACCACAAAAACTAAGATGAGGACAAGACTTTAATGAATCCATCTATTAACTAATTATTAATCCATTGAATTGAACATAAAGAGCTTCTCATATTGCATGTTTTAGCACTAATCAACTTCTATATGTTTTTTGCTTGCATGCAATATTGGGTTAGATACAAGATGATTATCATAAAATAGGATAGGAGGATTATCCAAGAACATACATAGATCACAAAGTATAATGAAAATCATTAAACAACACCACAAAATCCTTTACATGTGTTAATTGCCTTTATTATAAAGTCAATAACTAAAAAGATTAAATAGACATTTAATGGGATAACTCAATATATTTAGGCCTAATTTCATCCAATAATTATAGTTCTTTTATTCAGGTAATTATTAGCTTGGGTTCTTTTCAATTTAATTTTAACTTTTTTAGGTTGTATTCAATATTGATTGTAGGTTTTAGGTTACTTAGCTTTTCAATTTGCATCAATTAGTATTAGAGCTTGCCTCTAGAATCAAGTTTCATCTATCTATCTTTAAATTAAGTTTTGTGTTCATGTTTTGATTCTGTTTTACATTGTTAGGTTCAGTCTTTGTCTTTCTTTTAAAATTATCGAACCCTAGTTTCTTGTGTTTTGAGTTTTGGTTTTTTCTCTAGTTTAGATTAGCGTTATGTTTTCTTTTAATTATATATAAAAAAGAAATGTTATCTTTCAATTTAGTATTATATATATAATCAAATCATAAATTAGGTTGATTAAAATTGGTCTTGTTGAAATTAGTAGCCTTCAAAAAAATCCATGTAGAAATCAGCTTTGTTGAGTTATGTTGTGTTGAATTTGAGTTTATTTCAGTATTGATTTTAGGTGTTGATGAGTTATTCTTAAATTTATTTATTTTTAAATTTATTGTCTTAACTTTTTGCATACATTGGATGAACTTTATAACTTTAAAGTTTTAGATATATTTTTGTTGAGTTCAATGAAGAACTAAGAAATTTAAGAGTGGTAAGAAGTAAAAAAGTGTCGTGATGTGCACGGTATCGAATGACGGACCTACCTCCTACAATTGAAAAGGTTTTGAGTTTAATCATAAAGTTATGATTTTAAGATTTAAGAGTCTCTACCTAGTATAATAATCATTAGAAAACCTAATGGTCTATGAGAGTCTGAGTAAGAGGATTAGTTGTGCAAGGAAAAGTACATCACCCCTAATACATCATACCTCAGATAAATTGCATTGTTAATTGATTGTTTTTATAGATCATGTTTCTATCTGCTGGTCTCATTTACGCCCGACTTAGTTGTGTCGGCTACATTTTCCCTAAATTTTAACCAAGAAACCTAATTTCAATTTTGGGAATTTTGATCAAGATTCATCTAAACCTTAATTGAAGTTGGATAAATGGATCTAGAACACTTTACTAGTTGATCTTGTATGTTTTGAATGTCTTCCTAGTGAATTTATACCACCCTTCTTTTTTTTCCTTTAACTTTTTTAGTTTCTCTCTCTAAACCCCACTTTTCTCATTTTTTTTCTCTCAAAATCTCTCATCCCAAGTAGATTTGGTGTGGTTTTTCCTAATAAAAGTGTCTCTCAACACTTTCTAATCCCCAAATATGAAAGAAAACATTAAGTTTTGCAAGAGAAAATGAAGAATCTATGCCATTTTTTCTCTTTTAATGGTTGTTGTCATGAATAGTGTCAAGGAGGAAAGATTTTTGTTAAAAGTGGATAGTGTCATTAATGAGTCCATGTGTTATTTCTTATTTTTTTTCAACTAACAACACTTTCTCAAGACCTTACCAAACTTTAATTACCCTGAAATTTTAACCCCTAATATAACAATATGTCAAAAGAGTCCTTGTAAAATTTCAGCTAATAATGAGATTGAGAGTTAAGTCGAAACTAGATTGATATCATAAAACTAGACAATATATATTTTTTACACCAAAATCTGAATTTTTATATAAAGTTATAGATTAATTTATTTGGAATTTCCTTTTTTATATATAAATGTTCTCACTTAAAATTTATAGAAATTATTCCTTTAAAATAATTATTTTACATGATCTGGAAATTTATGCAATTTATCACCAGCAAACATTTAGCCTACCAATTTTAGTATTTTATCTCATTTAAAATTTAAATTAGTTTACTGACACGACTAAAAAATTGATGTCTTCTTCCAAGTACAGGAGTGTCGAAGTAATAAATAACCCGGCAAGACCGGGGTCGAACCACAGGGAGGTTAATTGTAAAAATTATAAACAACAATTATAAACAATGAAAATAACAATAATAACAACAACAATAACAATAACAA